ACACGTACTCGGGAATCATTGTAGAACAAAGCATTGCAGTGTATGTTTGCTGGCATTCAAACAACATCCGTTCTTTATCTCTCTGTGTTATCCTCAGGAGAGTGAGATATAATTCATGGTCACCTGGTTGAAATAGAGTGCTTTTCTTCAGGGGACACTCAGAGGAGCCCACTCCTGCTGGGCTGTTTGCCTGTGGCTAAACAGAAATGTTCCCCGCTGTTAGCCACAGGGAGGGGGGAAGGTTGAGGGGGTAGTCACGCGGTGGGAGGAGGCAAAATGCGACCTTGTAACGAAAGCACATGTGCTATGTATGTAATGTTAACAGCAAGGTTTACCCTGAAAGAGTGTAGCCACTGTTTTATAAAATGTGTCTTTTTAAATACCGCTGTCCCTTTTTTTTTCCTCCACCAGCTGCATGTGTTTCAATGATCACAGGATCTTCTCCTTCCCAGAGGCTAGTGAAGCTTAGAAAGAAAAAAAAAAACGCACTCGCGATGAAATGTTCTCCGAGCTCATGCTGTCCTCCCACACTGACAGAGCACAGACGAATGCGTGGAGGCAAATGATGTCAGAGTGCAGGAAAGCACAAAATGACCGGGAGGAGAGGTGGCGGGCTGAAGACAGGGCTTCAATGTTGGGCTTAAATGTGGCGGCAGCGTGATGAGAGGAGGCAGGATTCAATGCTGAGGCTGCTGCAGGACCAAACCAGTATGCTCCAGTGTATGGTTGAGCTGCAGCAAAGGCAGCTGGAGCACAGACTGCCACTGCAGCCCCTCTGTAACCAACCGCCCTCCTCCCCAAGTTCCATAGCCTCCACACCCAGACGCCCAAGAACGCGGTGGGGGGGCCTCCGGCCAACCAGCCACTCCGCCACAGAGGATTGCCCAAAAAAAAGAAGGCTGTCATTCAATAAATTTTAAAGTTGTAAACTTTTAAAGTGCTGTGCTTAAAGTGCTGTGTGGCATTTTCCTTCCCTCCTCCACCACCCCTCCTGGGCTACCTTGGTAGTCATCCCCCTATTTGTGTGATGAATGAATAAAGAATGCATGAATGTGAAGCAACAATGACTTTATTGCCTCTGCAAGCGGTGATTGAAGGGAGGAGGGGCAGGTGGTTAGCTTACAGAGAAGTAGAGTGAACCAAGGGGCTGGGGGTTTCATCAAGGAGAAACAAACAGAACTTTCACACCGTAGCCTGGCCAGTCATGAAACTGGTTTTCAAAGCTTCTCTGATGCGTACCGCGCCCTCCTGTGCTCTTCTAACCGCCCTGGTGTCTGGCTGCGCGTAACCAGCAGCCAGGCAATTTGCCTCAACCTCCCACCCCGCCATAAACGTCTCCCCCTTACTCTCACAGATATTGTGGAGCACACAGCAAGCAGTAATAACAGTGGGAATATTGGTTTCGCTGAGGTCTAAGCGAGTCAGTAAACTGCGCCAGCGCGCCTTTAAACGTCCAAATGCACATTCTACCACCATTCTGCACTTGCTCAGCCTGTAGTTGAACAGCTCCTGACTACTGTCCAGGCTGCCTGTGTACGGCTTCATGAGCCATGGCATTAAGGGGTAGGCTGGGTCCCCAAGGATACATATAGGCATTTCAACATCCCCAACAGTTATTTTCTGGTCTGGGAATAAAGTCCCTTCCTGCAGCTTTTGAAACAGACCAGAGTTCCTGAAGATGCGAGCATCATGCACCTTTCCCGGCCATCCCACGTTGATGTTGGTGAAACGTCCCTTGTGATCCACCAGAGCTTGCAGCACTATCGAAAAGTACCCCTTGCGGTTTATGTACTTGGCGGCTTGGTGCTCCGGTGCCAAGATAGGGATATGGGTTCCGTCTATAGCCCCACCACAGTTAGGGAATCCCATTGCAGCAAAGCCATCCACTATGACCTGCACATTTCCCAGGGTCACTACCCTTGATATCAGCAGATCTTTGATTGAGTGGGCTACTTGCATCACAGCAGCCCCCACAGTAGATTTGCCCACTCCAAATTGATTCCCAACTGACCGGTAGCTGTCTGGCGTTGCAAGCTTCCACAGGGCTATCGCCACTCGCTTCTCAACTGTGAGGGCTGCTCTCATCTTGGTATTCATGCGCCTCAGGGCAGGGGAAAGCAAGTCACAAAGTTCCATGAAAGTGCCCTTACGCATGCGAAAGTTTCGCAGCCACTGGGAATCGTCCCAGACCTGCAACACTATGCGGTCCCACCAGTCTGTGCTTGTTTCCCGAGCGCAGAATCGGCGTTCCACAGCATGAACCTGCCCCATTAGCACCATGATGCATGCATTGGCAGGGCCCATGCTTTCAGAGAAATCTGTGTCCATGTCCTGATCACTCACGTGACCGTGCTGACGTCGCCTCCTCGCCCGGTATCGCTTTGCCAGGTTCTGGTGCTGCATATACTGCTGGATAACGCGTGTGGTGTTTAATGTGCTCCTAATTGCCAAAGTGAGCTGAGCGGCCTCCATGCTTGCCTTGGTATGGCGTCCGCACAGAAAAAAGGCGCGGAACGATTGTCTGCCGTTGCTCTGACGGAGGGAGGGGCGACTGACGACACGGCTTACAGGGTTGGCTTCAGGGAGCTAAAATCAACAAAGGGGGTGTCTTTACATCAAGGAGTATTTCAGGCAGGACTTCACGGAGGGTTCCAATAAGAAATGGTGCACCTAAGTTATCGTTCTTATTGGAACAAGGAGGTTAGCCTGGCCTCTGATTGATACATGGCTAGATTTACCTCGCTGCACCTTCTCTGTGAGTGACTGCAGTGTGACCTAGAGGAATGAGTCCCCTAGACAGGGGAGGAGGCAAATGAGTACAAAACAAATCTGGTCTATTTCTTGTTTTGACCCACTCCATCTATCTTTTACATCTTTGGCTGGCAGCAGACGGTGCAGAAGGACTGCATGCCATCCACATCTCATGGCTGCCTGGCAGAAGATAGTACAATACGACTACTAGCAATCCTCATCTCTTGCCTGCCTGGCAGAAGATGGTACAGTACGACTGCTAGCAGTCCGTATCGCCTGCCCGCTCACCATAAGACGGTTGAATAGGACTGACTGCAGGACTAAAGAGAATGACCTGGTCAAGTCACTCCAAATTTAGTCCCTGCGCCCATGTCTGCCCAGGCGCTCCCAGCCGACGTGGCCAGGAGCACCTCGGACACGACGAGGACAACTACCAGTCGTATTGCACCGTCTGCTGCCAGAAGGCAATGGGTTGCTGCTACTGTGCAGCAAAGCCGTACCGCGTCTGCCAGCACCCAGGAGACATAGGGTGACGGTTACCTGAGCAGGCTCCATGCTTGCCGTGGTATGGCGTCTGCACAGGTAACTCAGGAAAAAAGGCGCGAAATGATTGTCTGCCCTTGCTTTCACGGAGGGAGGGAGGGAACGGGGGCCTGACGATATGTACCCAGAACCACCCGCGACAATGTTTTAGCCCCATCAGGCATTGGGATCTCCACCCAGAATTCCAATGGGCAGCGGAGACTGCGGGAACTGTGGGATAGCTACCCACAGTGCAACGCTCCGGAAGTCGACTCTAGCCTCGGTACTGTGGAAGCGCTCCGCCGAGTTAATGCACTTAATGCACTTAGAGCATTTTCTGTGGGGACACACACACTCGAATATATAAAACCGATTTCTAAAAAACCGACTTCTATAAATTCGACCTTATTCCGTAGTGTAGACATACCCTTAGAGCACTTGTGTGGGGACACACAATCAACTGTATAAAACCGCTTTCTACAAAACCGACTTCTATAAATTCGACCTAATTTCGTAGTGTAGACATACCCTTAGACAAGACCCCTTAAAAACAAACAGAAGTTACCTAGCATTCTCCCTTTTAGTCTACTCCCTTCCTTTCTAAAAGCTTCAACCTTGAAGAATAATACACAAAGCTTCAGAATTTGGGATTCTAATTAACTTTGTTGTATTTTCTTTTTCTAAGCATATTGATACCAAAGTGGAGGAAGAGAGAAACATAGTGCAAAATCCCTACCACAAAAACAAAGACAGGAATACAGAAAAGTATATAAAGACATGTTTTCTGTTCCAGATTTCCACAAAAAGGATCCAGTTATAAAAATCTCATTATTTCTCATGAGGAGTTATGGGCTAATAGTAGAATATTCTGATATGCTAATTCTCAAGAATATACAGGCATCAAATAGTTTACCAGGAGATCGCCCACATATAGTAGACCACTTTAGATGAAAGATTACTACAGAACCTTAAACTGCAGATTATTTCATAAAAACAAACTGGTGTAGAGATATTCCAAATTCCAAAATGAGACAAAGGCACTAGAATCCATTACATATTTAGTATGTGTGTTTGCAGAAGGGACAATGAAAATACAGGCATTATGCAATCACCCAAATTAACAAAATACAGGGGGGAAAAATAGCCAAAAAGTATTTAGCAAGAAGTCTCATAACCATCCTTGCAGCCTCTAGCATTACAATCAGACTTACTGAATTCATCCCTAGTAAGCATGACTGGATATCTTGTCACAATTTCAGTATAAAATATGTAGTTGACTGGTCAGGAATCTATCACATTCCAAACATTTAAATAATGGCTTGGGTTTCTACATTCCTTAATTGTTTTGGTGCTTTTTTTTAATTTATCAAAATATTCCAGTATCAAGTTGCTCATTCCTGTAACTCTTCCACTAAAAAGCTTCCTTGCAATACAGTCGTGCTTGCAGACCACTTGGTGTAGGGAATCACTTGTCCATTGGATTACAATTTTAGTGATTTAGTGCTGTTTTAAACCCTGTATCAGTGGCAAATACCAGAGCTCAGACAGTATAATTTTCAATCAAAAAATTAAAGACTATCAAGTGACAAAAGGGTGTTTTGGGCTGCTAAGAAAGAAATTGAAAAGATTTCAGAAAAAAAAAATGAAGATCAGACCGAGTTAGTCTATAGACCATCATATCCTGGATTTTCACTTAGCTATGTATAAAAGTACCATTCTTACTGTACCTTGTAATATCTGAAGTAGTCTCGTTCTTGCAGTTTCTGTATTTTGGGGAAGATCTTGTAAGTATTGAAGTCATCAATGCTTTCTATATCACACAAGCAGTCATCCAACAGTCCGGAGAGCTACAAGAAACAAATATATTCTATTGCTTTACTGACCAAGATTCAAGGTAGTAAAAATTATTCTTAGATAAACAAATCAACCCCAACAAAAATTAGAGGATTTTTCTTAATAAAGGTGGATGAGGAGTTAGATAACTGTATTACATTAATGCATCATTAGTTTTCATATGAGTTGGGTTAAATCCTTGCTGAAACCAGTGGATGTAACAGCCACCCTCAATTTGTGCAACCGTTTAGCTCCTTTATGGAATCAGACAGCTGAAAAATAGTAGCTTACACTCAAAACAAAGGCATGTGCAGGCAGAGAGATTTTGTTTTGTGTAGATGTGTGTCTGTGAAAGTAAGAAGGCAAGAGAGAGAGGCAGCAAGCAAGCATTAGACATAGCCACAGAAGCACTGATAGTCTGGCCCTCAGTGAAAGTTATGCGAGTTTTTGGGCGGAGTGCTGTCTAAAAAGGGGCTTGAACCACTGAGCAAAGAAATTGTCTCCTGCCTTTTGATTCTTGCTATGTTCAGAAAACAGGACTTTGTACATTCTTTGTAAATAAACAATAGTATCAAATGGTATCTGGCTGTGTGATCAATTTCTCCTCAAACAAAACCATAGGACCCTGAATTTTGGATAACTGCTACACTCAAAGGGGGTGACAATATCTTATCTTTACACTTGTTTACAATAGAAAACTAATTTCTGATGCCATGGACTGGCATCAGTCCACCTCCAGGTGCAATACTATTTGAATGTAGTAACTATGGAGATTAATGCTGTGGTCCTGCAATTTGCACTTCAATTGAGACCATCTCTGTGGAGCATGTTGCAGCCTGAAGGGCCTATATTTCCCAAACCAGGAGGATATATCATGTTAAGACATGATTTTATGAGATGCATAGTACTGTCACAGAAATTGTTTACAAACTTGTGAGATTGAGCCCCTAATGTACATAAAAATCTTGTATTATCTTAACTTAAAATACTTCACTTCGAGTTTAAAATAAGTTCTGTTAACCCATTTCTAAAAGAGGCATACTTACATTATACTCTTTAAAGTATTTTGATACTTATCTACAGAATGTAGTAGGAAAAATATTAGAATAATAGACTGTTACATATATTACAATTCTAATAATAATGTAAGAGCAGCCACAGTGGGTCAAACTAATGGTCCATCTAGCCCACTATCCTGTCTCTGACAACAGACAGTGTCAGATGCTTCAGAGGGAATGAACAGAACAGGGCAATTTTGAGTGATACCTCCCAGGTTATCCAGTCCCAGCTTTTGGCATTTGGAGGTTTAGGGGTGCCTGGAATATGCAGTTGCATCCCTGACCATCTTGGGTAATGATTATGGATGGATCTATGCTCCATTAACTTATCTAATTCTTTTCTAAACTTAGTTATATTTTTGATCTTCACAATATCCTCCAGTTCTACAGACTGACTCTGCATTGTGTGAAGAAGTGTTTCCTTATGTTTGTTTTAAACCTGCTGCCTATTAATTTCATCAGGTAACCTCTGGTTCTTGTGTTTTGTGAAGGGGTAAACAACACCTCCTTATTCAATTCCTCCACACCATTCATGATGTTAATAGACCTCTGTGGCATCACCCCTTAATCATCTCTTGTCTAAGCTCAACAGTCCCAGACTCTCTCTTCACACGGAAGCTGTTCCATACTCCTAAACATTTCTGTTGCCCTTCTCTGTACTTTTCCCAATTCTAATATCTTTTTGGGTGACCAGAACTGCATGCAGTATTCAAGGTGTGGGCATACCATGAATTTATATAGGAGCATTATCTATTTCTTTCAGAATGGTTCCTAACATTGTTAATTTTTTTGACATACGCTGCACATTGAGAACTAAACATGACGATTCCAAGATCTCTTTCTTGAGTGGTAAACAGTTAATTTAGACCCCATCATTTTGTATGTATAGTTGGGATTATCTGCATTTACCAACACTGAATTTCATCTGCCATTTTGTCAGCCAGTCCCTCTGTTTTGTGAGATCACTTTGTAACTCTTCACAGTCTGCTTTGGACTTAACTATCTTGAGTAATTTTGTATCATTTGCAAATTTTGCAACTTCACTGTTTACCCCCTTTTCCAAATCATTTATGAATATGTGGAACAGCCCTGGTCCCAGATCCTTGGGGGACCTGGCTATTTACCACTCTCCACTGTGAAACCTGACCATTTATTCTTACTCTTAATTTCCTATCCTTTAACCAATTACTGATCCATGAGAGAACCTTCCCTCTTCTCTCATGACTGCTTACTTTGCTTAAGAGCCTTTGGTGTAAGACCTTGTCAAAGGCTTTCTGAAAGTCCAAGCACACTATATCCACTGATCACTCTTCTTCACATGCTTGTTGACTACCTCAAATAACTTAATAGATTGGGGAGGCATGATTTCCCTTTACAAAAGCAATGTTGACTCTTCTCCAACACATCATGTTTATGCATCTGATAATTCTGCTCTTTACTATAGTTTCAAACAATTAGCCTGGTACCTAAGTTAGGCTTACCAGCCTGTAACTGCCAGCATCACCTCTGGAATCTTTCTTAAAAATAGGCATTATATTTGCTACTCTCCAGTCATCTGGTACAGGGGCTGATTTAATACACACATAGGATTTGATTCTGTAAATACCTATAGGACTAATCCCACTGACTCCCAGGTCGCGACTCAAGTAAGCGTAGCTACTCACATGAGTAAGTATTTGCAGTATCAGTGCCTAAAATTACAATTTAAAACCCTAAAAGCATTTTTAAATGCCTTTAATAAATTTAACCATACTTGTAGATCTGAGTCCATGGTCAACTATAGAAATGGCAATAGAACAATGTAACACATTACTGTTTTTCAGTAAAACCTACAGCTTGTGTTTTAGTCTTCCAAACACAAATTAAGAGTTATTCAGCAAGCAACAAAACACTGAAGATAGAAGATGGACCCTTCAGAAATGAGGGGAAAAAGAAGACATCTGAGAAGTCCTGAGTCTAAAGACAAAACAATTTTTAAAAAAGACTACCAAACTTATCAGTGTTTACAACATAGTTCATATTGTTTCTTATCTATCTCCAATGATCTACTTTCAAAAATGAGAATTTTTTTTTATAAAATAGCAAAAAACCTCTTTGCAAGGTGTAATTTAAAATTAAACATTGTTGTAATTGTATTAAGATACTCTTTTAAGGTGTTTTAGTGGCCCATGTTATGAGTGAAGGCACAAGGCTCGAAGGTGATAACCCTCGTTCATGATAAAGCAGCACAACAGATTAAGGGTTTCAAGCTACTCATTAAATTTACAGAGCGGTTCTACTAGTGTGGATTACACACTCAGAGCTTTATCTTACTTCAAAGTACTCTATTATTCAGTAAATTAAATGCAACAGGTTTCTGCATCTTCTCTATTAGTGTTTGAATATTTGCATGGAAATAATTCTCTTTACTATGTTGCCAGAAAAAGAATTACATTTTAAAAGATCCTGTGTTAAAACATTAGAACAAATAATATTAAAAGCCTATTACTTTTCACTATTCATGCTGAGTTGTTGCGGGTTTTTTTGGTTGCATTGCACTGATCTCTGACAATGAAACTAGACTGGTTAGTTCACTTGATAGGTATAGGGCCAAATGCTGCCCTGGCATGAGTTATCACATCTCCAGTGATTTTAATGGAGTTGCATTAATGTATGCCACGACTTAATTTAGTCCATAGCATTTTTCTGCTTCTTATACAGTACTTTTACTTCCGATACCATAAGGAATTTGCACCTTTGGAGAAAGGGATTTAGACATATAACTGAAATTTAACAAACAATTTAATGAAAACATTTCTAGCGCTAATAGATTTGTAAAACTTTTTTTAAATAAGTCTATTTACAAAAATTACACCTACAACACCTCATTAAATATTCCACTTCTTACCTTGGAAAACATGGCAATGTTCAGTTTTATATATAAAACTGAGGAAGGAGAAGAATGAGAAACATAACATAACAAGTCACTTAAATTAATGCTGATATTAATTTTTCAGTTACAACTGTTACATGCATACATGTTACAGGAAGCGGTAAATGGACCAACTAAATATAACCACAATGTATGCAATTCCCTCATCACAGTCTTACTAGCAACTATAAGATTCAAATTAATTACAAATTGAAAAATACTAGTGTATTACTTTTAATTTTATTTGTATCATATGGATCAAAAGTGACTACCCCACAATCTAGTTTCCAGGAACTGTATTAAAGTATTTTTCTACAGTGACTGTTAAAATGATTGCTGTATATATGACATCCGATGTAACCTGTAAATGGTTAATTCTCTAACTTGTTTTCCAATATAAGTCAACCTTTTATAAAAGCTATGCTTAAACATGAGTTAAGTTCCAAGTTATATGCATTTAAAATATGGAGTTTGTAGAAACAACTAAATTTATTATCTTGTGAAACATACAAGCTCTGAATAGAATACATGAATGCAGTAACATTGTTAGCACATTTATACAGACAACCTTAAAGGTGTGCTCTCAGGTGGTTGTATTTTAATTGCTTAAACATATTTCCTCATTCGAAAACCAACCGGGACACCTTGTTTTGCTCCTCACAGTTTTACCACTTTGCTGCATACACAAAATGAGAGAGAGAAAAAAAGCTAGTAGTCAAAACACTGTAGAGAACCAGGGGGTAATAGATATGTAGAATTTGAACTGCAGCAACAAAAGATGTTTAATATTTTATTACAAATATATACAGCTGTCAAGCGATTAAAAAATTGTGATTAATCGTGCTATTAAACAGTAATAGAATACCATTTATTTAAATATTTTTGGAAGATTTCTACGTTTTCAAATGTATTGACTTCAATTACAACACAGAATAAAAAGTGTACAGTGCTCACTTTATATTTATTATTACAAATATTTGTACTGAAAAAAATATATTTTTCAATTCACCTAATACGAGTACTATAGTGCACTCTATCATGAAAGTTGAACTTATGAATGTAGAATTATGTGCAAAAATAACCCTGCATTCAAAAATAAAATAATGTAAAACTTTAGAGCCTACAAGTCCATTCAGTGCTACTTCTTGATCAGCCAGTTGCTCAGACAAACAAGTTTGTTTACGTTTGCAGAAGATAATGCTGCCTGCTTCTTCTTTACAAAGTTACCTGAAAGCGAGAACAGGCCGCTCGCATGGCACTGTTGTAGCCGGCATCGGAAGATATTTAGATGCCACATGCACTAAAGATTCATATGTCCCTTCATGCTTCAACCACCATTCCAAAGGACATGCGTCCATGCTGATGACAGGTTCTGCTCGATAAAAATCCAAAGCAGTGCGGACCGATGCATGTTCATTTTCATCATCTGAGAAAGATGCCACCAGCAGAAGGTTGATTTTCCTTTTTTGGTGATTTGGGTTCTGTAGTTTCCGCATCAGAGTTTTGCTCTTATAAGACTTCTGAAAGCATGCGCCACACTTTGTCCCTCTCCGATTTTAGAAGGCACTACAGATTCTTAAATCTTGTGTTGAGTGCTGTAGCTATCTTTAGAAATCTCACATTGGTATCTTCTTATTTTGTCAAATTTGCAGTGAAATGTTCTTAAAACGGACATGTACTGGGTCATCATCCGAGACTGCTATAACATGAAATATATGGCAGAATGAGGGTAAAACAGAGCAGGAGACATAAAATTTTCCACCAAGAAGTTCAATCACAAAGTTAATTAATGCATTATTTTTTTAACGAGCGTCATCAGCATGGAAGCATGTCCTCTGGAACAATGGCTGAAGCATAAAGAGGCATAGGAATCTTTAGCGCATCTGGCACGTAAATATCTTGCAACGCCAGCTACAATAGTGCCATGCGAATACCTGTTCTCACTTTCAGGTGACATTGTAATTAAGAAGTGGGAAGCATTATTGCCCATAAATGTAAACAAACTTGTTTCTTTTAGTGATTGGCTGAATGAGAAGTAGGACTGAGTGGAGGTATAGGCTCTAAAGGTTTACATTGTACTCAAAAACAAAACAGTTATGTAACAAAAAAACCCTACATTTGTAAGTTTCACTTTCATGACGTACTACAGTACTCGTATGAGGGGAATTGAAAAATATTATTTTTTATTGTTTTACAATAAACATTAATATCTGTAATAAACATTAATATAATGTAAGCACTGTACACTTTGCATTCTGTGTTGTAATTGAAATTAATATATTTGAAAATGTAGTAAACATCCAAAAATATTTAATAAATTTCATTTGGTATTCTATTGTTTAACAGTGCAATTAATCGTGATTTTTAAAATTACAATTAATTTTTTTGAGTAAATCATATGAGTTAACTGTGATTAATCGACAGCCCTACAAATATATAAACCTTGGTTTAAAAAACAATTGATATCCCTCCCAGTTTAAAGACTAAACAAACAGTGAAACTTGCATTAAGGTTTTTTAATGACAGCATTAAGGGCCACCAGCAAAAAACACACACAAAAAACAAAAAAACCCACCAACTCTGCTTTAAGGGCAATTTAACTTGGATATGGATTAATGTACCATTTATGTATCCCATGAAATTTCCAACACATTTTCATAGATTCATGGAGTTTAAGGCCAAAAGGAACCATGAGATCATCTACTCTGACCTCCTGTATATCACAGGCCATTAAGTTTCACCCAGTTACTCCTGTATTGAGCCCACTAACTCCTTTTTCACTGAAGCATAACTTTCAGAAAGGCATCCAGTGTTAATTGTAATTTGAGGACATCAAGAATTCACCATTTCTCTAGGTAGGCTTGTTCAAATGGTTAATCACTCTCACTTAAAAATGTGCACCTTACTTCCAAATTGAATTTGTCCAGCTTGAGTGTATTGTTTCACTTAAATAAAAGGAATCTATACTGGGCAAGTGATTTATTGACAGTCCCTTGGATGGACACTTACTGTAGGGCAGGTTTCAAGGTATGAAAACCTTAAAAATGTAAACATATATTTAAAACAACCAAAAGAGACAACATTTGGCTTGCTGTGTGTGTAAATGATTCCATAGGTTTTCCCTAATCTCTTTGGCCAAAGCTTCACCTGCCCTCCCACATCACAACTGCTATCTTAGATATGGTTGTTTCTGATGAATAAAAGTAAAAGACTCTCCACTTCCATAGTATTTTTGGCATATGACACTCAATTTCTCAGAACAATTCAAAAAGAAGGGTAAGCATTACTATCTCCATCTGTACAAGGGGGTAACAGAGCTTAAGTTAGATGTCCAACATCACCAAAGAGCAGTCAAAGTAAAAGGAGACCTGAGTTCTGTTCCGAGCTCTAATTCCCAGATCTTTAAGTACTACCAAGAGATCATACTATACCTCCCACTGACTTCCTAAAGAAGTCAGAGTTCTGCTTAAAAATGAATAGCATGATACAACCCATATCTTGTGAAACACTCTGGGATTGTTTAGGATGAAATTTGTACATATGAATATAAAAGTACTGCTTCCTGAATTAAGGAACTCCTCTATTTAACGTCTGAATCTTTGTATAAAAATATTATTATATCCCATAACAGAGAACTTCTCTGTGCATTCCTCTTTTCCAAATTTCATATAATACCCCAATCATATACCCTTGGGGCACGGTTACAAGTCAGCCACATTAAACGTCTGCTCTGCTACTGTTAACAAATGAAACCAAAATAGCTCCCCACTGAAACCTCAGTGCATCTCACTCAGCAAGAGGCAGCGGAAAGAAATATAAAGTCGATACTGCTTGGTCCTGCAAACCGCTGAAAACGCGCAGTGCCCCCTCTTCGGATCCGCGGGGGCACAGGGCAGCCAGCAGCACCAAACCCAGAGTCCACAAAGCTCATGGGATCCCTCGGGACAGAAACCGCTGCGCGCACACGTGAGCCGTTATCCAGCTGCAGTCTGGCCGAAGGAGGAAAGCCCGGAACTCCGGTCCTCCTTCCCCTCCAGGGTCCCTCCCCGCCCCCGACACAGGCAGCCGCCGTCGCCCGAGCCCCATCTCTCTCACCTGGGCCTCCACCGGAGTCCAGATGCTGCCCAGCAGCAGGAGACGCACCGCCAGCCCCGTCCCCGCCGCTGTCCTCCGGGCGGCTCCGCGGGCGCTGCTCATGCTGCTCCCGCCTCGCCCCGCCACCCCGGGGGCCCTCGCCCCGCTCCGCCGCGCGGCCAAGGGCTCGGCACCGGGCAGGGGATGGACGCGGGCGCACGGGCACCGGCGGACGCTGTCGGCGCTGCCTCTGCCGGCCCCCTGTCAGGAGAGGGCGCCGCGCTCACCTCCGCCCGCCTCAGCCACGCTCCCCTCTGCGCTGCGCCGGCCCGGCCCCCAGCCTCCTCCCTCGCACAGCAGCGGCGGCGGCGGCCACACAACCGCCGCCTGCCGCGCAAAGCACTCTGGGACTCGGAGTCCAACCGGCCGCACTTCCCAGCCCGGTGTGGGGGCTGGGACGACAGGAGGCGGGGCCCCGAGCGACGGCCAATCAGAGATAACCACGCGCACCTCCAAAACAAGAGGAGATGACTTGGTACCTGTCACTGGCAAGGAGGGGCGGGGCTAGGGCTGCCCAGAGCCTCCTGCCCCGACCCTTTCAAGGGCCCCTGCGAAAGGGGCTAGGGGGCGTCCGAGAGGGTCTTCTGTGACGTCGTCTGCACAGCTGGCCGGCTTCTAGCTCGCCGCTATGAGTTCTGCGCCGCGCGCACAGAGCTGGGGGGCAAACGCGTCCGTGGCTCCCCATGTGGCAGTCAGTGGGGGTTTTTTCGGTACAGCCACACAGGAACATACTCGGTTTCAGAGGAACAGCCGTGTTAGTCTGTGTTCGCAAAAAGAAGAGGAGTCCTTGTGGCACCTTAGAGACTAACCAATTTATTTGAGCATGAGCTTTCGTGAGCTACAGCTCACTTCATCGGATGCATACGGTGGAAACTGCAGCAGACTTTATATACACACAGAGAATATGAAACAATACCTCCTCCCACCCCACTGTCCTGCTGGTAATAGCTTATCTAAAGTGATCATCAGGTGGGCCATTTCCAGCACAAATCCAGGTTTTCTCACCCTCCACCCCCCACACACAAATTCACTCTCCTGCTGGTGCTAGCCCATCCAAAGTGACAACTCTTTACATAATCAAGTCGGGCTATTTCCTGCACAAATCCAGGTTTTCTCACATCCCCCCCACCCCCATACACACACAAACTCACTCTCCTGCTGGTAATAGCTCATCCAAACTGACCACTCTCCAAGTTAAAATCCAAGTTAAACCAGAACATCTGGGGGGGGGGGTAGGAAAAAACAAGAGGAAACAGGCTACCTTGCATAATGACTTAGCCACTCCCAGTCTCTATTTAAGCCTAAATTAATAGTATCCAATTTGCAAATGAATTCCAATTCAGCAGTTGCCAATTGTGCCCACATATCTATTCAGGGGACACCATCACAGGGCCTAATAACATCAGCCACACTATCAGAGGCTCGTTCACCTGCACATCCACCAATGTGATATATGCCATCATGTGCCAGCAATGCCCCTCTGCCATGTACATTGGTCAAACTGGACAGTCTCTACGCAAAAGAATAAATGGACACAAATCAGATGTCAAGAATTATAACATTCATAAACCAGTCGGAGAACACTTCAATCTCTCTGGTCACGCAATCACAGACATGAAGGTCGCTATCTTAAAACAAAAAAACTTCAAATCCAGACTCCAGCGAGAAACTGCTGAATTGGAATTCATTTGCAAATTGGATACTATTAATTTAGGCTTAAATAGAGACTGGGAGTGGCTAAGTCATTATGCAAGGTAGCCTGTTTCCTCTTGTTTTTTCCTACCCTCCCCCCCAGATGTTCTGGTTTAACTTGGATTTTAACTTGGAGAGTGGTCAGTTTGGATGAGCTATTACCAGCAGGAGAGTGAGTTTGTGTGTGTATGGGGGTGGGGGGGATGTGAGAAAACCTGGATTTGTGCAGGAAATAGCCCGACTTGATTATGTAAAGAGTTGTCACTTTGGATGGGCTAGCACCAGCAGGAGAGTGAATTTGTGTGTGGGGGGTGGAGGGTGAGAAAACCTGGATTTGTGCTGGAAATGGCCCACCTGATGAACATTTTAGATAAGCTATTACCAGCAGGACAGTGGGGTGGGAGGAGGTATTGTTTCATATTCTCTGTGTATATATAAAGTCTGCTGCAGTTTCCACGGTATGCATCCGATGAAGTGAGCTGTAGCTCACGAAAGCTCATGCTCAAATAAATTGGTTAGTCTCTAAGGTGCCACAAGTACTCCTTTTCTTTTTAGGAAAATACTCATTATTTTAAAGGTAGAAAATGTGATGGTAACCCCCCAAAATCAGTGGGGAGCTTGAGCAAACCTGGTGCCTGAAACCAGTTATAATTCCTAATGCACTGCTGCTGGGGTTTGGCCCATTATTGCAAAATATAGGATTGTTTTTAAATAAAAATAGCCATATTTTAGGGTGACCAGGTTTCCAGATTTTATAGGGACAGTCTCGATTTTGGGGGCTTTTTCTTATATAGGCTCCTATTTCCACACACACCCTGTCCCGATTTTTTACATTTACTGTCTGGTCACCCTACCATATTTTGACAATTGCAGGAGGTTACCATGGTGGTGGCAACACCATCTTGTACTGAAGACAATGGCATGGTGTGAGGACCCCTGCATTCTTTGTCCTTTCCTGAAAGTGATTTGTTCAGTGACCTGGGACACTTCACTTAATTCTTCTCTGTCTCTGCCATCTGCAAAATGGTTACACAAGACAACCTCTATTATACAAGTCTCAATGATCTGAAACTGCTTGTTATCAAAAACAAGTCAGGTTCCCTCATCTCTACTAATTATACTGAAAATTCCCTTGTTATTTTTGCAGATTTATTCAGTGTCCCCTCCTTGTCATATTTATTAGCAGAGCACAGCCTCAGTTACCTACTTTTGCAGATGTGTTGTGCGTCTTAAATAATGAAGTCGCTAATGCCCTCTGAGAGCCATAGAGATAAGATGCTATAGAAATAGAAAGTATATTTAAAGATTAGCTCTTTTTATCTTTACTACCACTAAAATGCTGAAAAGTATGTGCTGAAGTTACTTTGAAAGATTTTGTTTAAGTAAATTTCATTAATTAAAGGTGGCTTTTTTTCTTTCAGATTAAACTTCCAGTTACTTCTTTCTCATCACATTTTCTTTCACAAGAGGCATTCCTAGAGATGGCAGCATGGTCTCTCCCTTTGTAACTAAAGGAAATGTAGGAAGCTGGGGAACATGCTTCAGTCCTGTCAGGTTTTCTTATTACCTGACTCCCTTGAAAAAGTAGAGAAGCTTTCAGCCATGTCCGTGTATTACAACCAACTGAAGTTCAAGCCCCTTTCCTGTCTGGCTTGTTTTTCAGAGGTCCAGCAATCATGGGAACTGCAATAGGAGTGATACCTCTACTGTTAGTCTCTTCTTTTCCAAAGGCCAAGGAGTTGGCTAAGTAACAACCAATAGTCCCAGGCAATTAAGTATATAGCTGTAATTCATTGCCAATATTTGCAAGAGCTCCTCTTTTTAATAAGAAAAGGAGTACTTGTGGCACCTTAGAGACTAACAAATTTATGTTCGAAAAGGAGGGCTATATGGATTTCAAGAGCAATGCTTGCTTCACAGATTTGCTAGGCTCTGGTGGCTAAAAAACCTCTCCCACATTCATGAAAAAATACTTTTTATTCCTTAGAGATTCTTTACAGAACTATTGCATTTTGTAAAAATCTGAGAATGGTTCCTTAGTGATATACGAGGTTCTGTGTGCTGTTTCACATTAAACCTAAATTATGTGCAGCAGTGCTAGAATTATGGTTCAGTTTTCAATCCCACTGCCAAACTTCCCCCCACACCCCCCATGATCCTCCTAGTCCAACAGAATATCCCTTATAGGGATGATCTAAAGCCCATTGAAGTCAGTATGGTCTTTAAAATGATTTCAATGGACTTTGGATCAGGCCAATATTATCTATTTTCATATTAATTCAAATTTGTTTTACATTGCCCCCTGACAAATTTAAATGTGCCACAGATTTTGGTATTGAAAACAACTGCATTGCTGAAGCTGTCCTGGGAAAAAATTTTGACAGTTAGGTAGGACGCATTTGTGAAGGTGACACGAGTGAATATGTGGGAGGCAGGGTTTTTTGAGGTGTTCTTTGAGTGAGAGAGAGAGGATGCAGTTGCTCTTTTCTTCCTCTTTTAGGTAGCTTCAGTTGAGACCATTAATTTAGGGAACAGAGGGTTCAATAATTCATTCCCCACCTAAGGAAACCTTAACAGCAATTTCTGATCCCATCCCACTCCAGAATCTGCCACTACTTCCTACAGCAGAGGATCAGTATATTTACTGAATGTTTCAGCTGAAATGATTAGTGGTAAAATAGTTAATGGTGACAATTACACTGCCATACTTAAACTTTAATGTCAACGCTCCACTGTAATGAAAACAGTTTACACTTCTTACAGAGCTCTTGTTTCAGGCTGTCTGAAAATTAAAGTGACATCACTGCATTGGTTTACAATTGTGATCACATTATGAAAGTTTTCTTTACAACTATAAAGGACTGATTTTTTTCTTAAATGAAGGCATACATTCAGAAGCACTATTATGACAAACTTTGTAAAGCTCACAATTATGCAACCATTTCCACTGCCACATAATTGCATTATAGATAGGGCTCTGTTTATTTAATAGAAATTAGAGACAAAGTATTGAGTCATTGTTGCTTATTCAGTTGTCACTGCAGATTATTCTACTTTATATACAGAGAGCACTGTTTGCCTTTAACTCAGACTGGGCTTAATCCTGCTTGAATTGAAAATCAATGGAAATGTTGCTTTTGACTTTATAAGAACATAAGAACGACCATATTGGGTCAGACCAAGCATCCATCTAGCCCAGCACCTTGTCTGCTAACAGTGGCTGCTGCCAGATACTTCAGAGGGAATGAACAGAACAGGGCAATTGTTGAGTGAATCACACCTCATTGTCCAGTCCCAACTTCAGGCAGTCAGAGACTTAGGGACACCCAGAGCAGCGGGGTATGTCCCTGACCATCTTGGCTATTAGCCATTGATGGACCTATCCTCTGTGAATTTATCTAATTCTTTTTTTAACCCAGTTGTACTTTTGGCCTTCATAACATCCCCTGGCAACAAGTTCCACAAGTTGATTGTGTTGTGTGAAGAAATATTTCCCTTTTTTTTGTTTTAAACCTGCTGCCTGTTAATTTCATTTGGTGACCCCTGGTTCTTATGTTATGTGAAGGGGTAAATAACACTTCCATATTCACTTTCTCCACACTATTCATGATTTTATAGATTTCTATCATATCCCCC